AGAGGGGGCTCTGAAACTGGCTCTCTTTTACCTACAGATGCCAGTTTTATTAGTGGGAGAAGCTACATATTTAACAGTGGCAGTGCATGGAGGCCATTTCCATTTCCTTCTAGCCACAATGGTCTCTTTAAGTAGACTATACCTACAAACAAGTGACATTACAAACTATTCAAGAGTCTTCAGGGAATTTATCATGTGCACTGTACAACAGCTATCTTGAACTTCTACAAATAGTCCTGCACATCAGGCTAAGCTCTCTCAGTGCTAGACTTACAATTTCAAAAGGACATTTTCACAGCAAGAACACTGTAAAAGCCAGTGGTACCAAGATTTTGAAGTCACCAAATACGACTATGCAAGAAATGAATGCTAAAAAAAAAAAGCGGATAGATAAATGCTATGGTACAGCTGAAATAGACTTCAGTTCTATGTTTTACTTGCAAGACTAATACACATTTACATAATGTCTTTTATTAAAACTAAAAAAAAAATATTACTGACTTTTAACATTGCAAGATACTGAAAACAGTAAGAAAGTTAAGCATGGCTAGTGGCAAGCCGGTGTGACCAGTTGTTCTGAGTTTATACTACCCACCCGATGGTGTCGTGCTGTATGTGCTTTGCATCAAGGCTGGAATAGAGCTCCACAACAGGTTCAAATGCACCAAGCATGCAGTAGATTCGAATAAGCAGTAATTTAAACTGAGCATTAGAAGGGCTGTGAGATAATCCTTCTTCTAATAAAGTTAGGGATTGCCACACAGCCAACTCTTCACCTGGAGACGAGGAGACAAATGTACACAGGAGTTAAGTGTGAACAGGGATTTATAAAGCAATGGTTTGAAATGTACAATGCCATAAAGGACTGGAACGTTTCTGCCACCTTTAAATTGCACATTTAAATTGTGCTCATCACCATCTCAAGACATGTCAGTGTCTCAGAAACTGGTAACCCAATATTCTCCTTGGGTGGGCAGGGGGAAGGAGGTTCTAGCAGAGTGGGAATCCCACTAGAAACATCTTGCTATCACCCACCACGTAGAGTGCAATGCTAAGTGTGTGGGACAAGTGAATCCTAGACAACTTAGTATTTCTAGATCATAGCCAGGTGCTTTAAGATACTGCTGTACAAAAAGCTACCTGAAAAATCCCTGTCCCCCAGCCAAGCTGGAGATCTAAGGGGCAAGTTCACCTGCTGTGGGGAGCCCACCATGGGATTTCCAGGGTGAGGACCTGCTGACCTGGCTGACAGAAAAAACAGAGGTAGGGAGGGAGAATAGCTGTGCAGCCCTCTGAATCCAGGACCTGGAGGGCATACAGATATATGCCAGCTGTATGGCAAAGCAGATCTTACGGCTTCTGCAAACTAATGATCATCTAATCTGAAGGAAGTATGGTTCAGTCTCTCGATAAGAGAACACAACACATTGATGTAAGGAGAAGAGTGTTCTGAAGAAAGAGACTGCAGGGACATACCTTCCTCTAGCCACAGATCAAGGAGCAGGTGAACTGCAAGCAGGCAGTAATAATCTGAAAACTGCAACTCAGTTTTTAAACAAGATTTCCCTAAAAGATAAAAGATGGAACTCATTCACAATGCACAGAGTTAAAATGGCAAAAGTTAATGCATTCTACAAATGGGGCCAATAACTGCATCATTTAATGAAGGTGGCTGTCTTTCAGGCTAGCAACATTTGCAGGACACTGTCAGGTTTATTAATCAACCCAAAATATCTTTATCTGTTATTGTTAAGGGCAGGATGCGTGAAAGAATTGTAAGCCTGTTGCTTTTCCTCATTTGTGCTTTTTTGATTCTTTCAATTTGGAACATGCCATTTCTCAAGTCACACATGGAGCCATTTCACTTCTAAGTAAAGCCACTTCCATACTCGTAAGCACTAATTTAATACCGAAGATACTGGGTTACAAGACACCACTCTGAGCAGTATTGAAAAAAATAAAATCATGAATACGTTTTTTTAATCGTGTCTTTTCAGATATGCAAAAATTCAATGATTTATTAGTAAACATCTTTGCTAACACATTTCTAAAGCATGCCAATTGTTTTAAAACAAACATATGATTTAGCAAAACACTGAATCAGAAGATGCGACAAGGAACAGCAACTACATCCTCTAATTTATATTTAAAGGCACCAGTCAATTGAAAAAAAGTAACTTTAAAAAGAAAAAAAAACACCCACATTTTATATAACACCTACAATTTTGCCAACAATGAGAAAATGTAAAATACTGCCTAAAAGTTTCTTAGAAACTGTGCCTTCAACACCAGTGGTGGGCAGCAAAGACATATTTTGGAAACATAGCCCATGAAAAGGCCCAAGTATAAATGTACAGAAATACATTTGTTTCAAGTTCTCTCACCAAACTGCAGTCCGTGATGGTATCTTAACATCAACTCTCGGACAATGCTCAGCTTTTGTGTCTTGTCAACGCTGTGATAGAGACCTAGCACTCTTGATAGCTGTACCACGCACAAGTGCTGTTGCAAAGCTTTGATGTCAGCTGGTAATGCAAGATCACCATCTACCGGTGCTGACAAAGGTATGACTCCAAGCAACTGATTGATGAACTATAAAGGAAACACAAGACTGAATTTTGCAATGTATCCAAGAACCTCCGATGAGCAGTAGCAGGGATGGGGACAACACATCTAAGTCACATGAAGCAAGCAACAAACCTTTAATTCCTTTTTCATGAACCGGAACCATCAAGTCTATGAGGCTGTTTTGAAATTTACAGTTAAGAGCCTGACCCTGTAATGCGGTGAACAGTCTGGTCCCGATTCTGTTAAGTGCTTAACTTTACAAAAATGAGAGGTCCCAGTGAAATTTACTGGAAGTAAATTAAAAATAATGTCCATCAGCACCAGTTAGGATAACTTTTACCCTGGGCTGCAAGTGATTTTCTTGGAAAAAGTTAGAATTAAACCTGTAAAAGGCATCAGGAATTGAGTGGCTTGGTTTTTTACATTTCAATTTGAAACATCCCCAGCACCTTCCCCTAGTTAAAAATGGCTCCAACACTGCAATGTTTATGACTTTAATGCTGTTTGGGACGACTATGGAGCTTAAAATGTTAGCAGCGAACCAGTTGTAAAAATGCTCCCAAAATTGCTATCGCTGGGGAATTTGAGTCAGTGTTAATAGGCGGGGGCTTGGTTTTGTTTTTTTGAACAACATATCATTGTACAATGCATACAATTCATACATTTTACATATAGTATATTACATAACACAATGTATTATGTCTAATAGAAGTTATGCACTATACACAACAGGGATTTGTTTTTTAAATGTACCCCTGACACACAAATTGTCAATTTATAGTTTACAAACATTTGTTAACGGCTTCCACTAGGTGTGTATTTCTAATCCTTCCCAGGTTTGTATTGCTAATCCTTATCCCCAGTAATTGCACATCAAGGGAGAGTGGCTGGATTCCCAGATGCCAAAAATCACCCAACAAACTACTCATGACTGCAGAAATGCTCTCTCAATTCAAGTGTAGATAGGGCATGTCTCAGGGAGAGACTCTGGAAAGAGAGTTTTTTGGTCACCTCTTTATTGTTGCTGATGTGACCACTCTTTTAGCTTGGTCTGCTGTTATGTTATCAAAGATTCACACAGTGCCCTCATGGGGATTAGGAGATTTGACACAGCATGCGAATGGGACAAACGAGGTGAAAGGAGAAAAATGTTTAAAAACAAAAGCAATGAGTGCTAGTAGACAGCAAGCCCACATTATCCAGCCTGATCTTTCCAACAGAATGAACCTCAATTTCCATGTGGCCTTGTCTGCATCTGATATTTGGGTCACTGGGAGTTGTGCACATTTAAAAAAGGAAGATAAGCCTCCTTGGGGTGTTGGATGTTTGGGCTCTACTCCACATCTCAGACTGTGACAGATAATTTAAGAGCAAGAGCAGCAGGGGAATAGTTGGTTGAAAAATGAAAAAAACCTGGCAATTTATCAATTAAACTGCATTTCCTGATGTACTAATCCAGAGGGACAGCAATTCAACCAAGACCACCTCAAGGCAATTGGACACATTAAGACTGAAAGGCAAAAAGCTCAGGCCTAAGACCTACAAAGAGTTACTAACTGCTCCACTGGAGCTACACCTGCAAGTGAGTAGTGTACCAGGTGGCAAGGCTTTGTGGATCCAACCCCAAGTCCCTATGCCTTTGAGATGAAGTTACTCAGAGAGCTGAAGGACTCCGGCTTTTCAAATATCTGTATTTTTTTTCTGCTTGAAGAGTTTTGAGGAAATATTAGACAATTCCATCATGTTAACAATTGGTAGTTTCCCCAAAACAGATCTTTAAAAAAAAGGAGACAGAGAGAGTGGGGAGGAAGGTTTCCTTCGAACACTACCAGAGCCCTAAGCTACCAGCAAATCTTTGTTACAGCACCAGACTGCAGGGGCACTCAGCAGTTCCCAGCAGCACTTCTTCATTTTACCCAATGCTGTTATCCTTACCTTTGTGTACTGGCTGGATGGAAGGAGGTCCACAAACACCTTTAAATCAGTTAAACAGCAGGGTTTGTCCCCAAACTTTTTGAAGTATTGAAACATTAGTTCTTCTGGGTCACCTAACAGAAAGGCCAGTTCAATTTTGTAAAAGGTTCCATTAAAAGCAAGATCTATAATACTGCTATGACAAATATGAGTACAGCCATACGCAATTTCCTACATTCAAATTTAAACAGTGATTTACAAACTATGATATCCCCCTTCAGATTTCAGAGTCAACTAGACGGCCTAACTATTGATAACCAATGAGTGACAAATCTAGCAGAATCTTTCAAGCTATCCAAATAGATAAGAACTCAATGCAGTGGCTTCATATACATATGTTCATCTGAAATCATAATATAAAAATTTTATTCACTTAGATTTTAGTACAAAGGAGACTACTGGAATACAGAAACGTCATTAACAGGAATCAAATTCTCCCCCTCACTTCCTTCCCAAATGTGTTTGTTAAAGCCAATAATAACTCCCCATAAGTATGTCCAATAAGCCTAACTGTTTGCAACTACACAAGGCTGCTAATGCACTCAAAGAAACATCGCCCACTAATTAAAAACCAAAAAATGACAGAGGGGATTTTCCAAAGGGCCAAAGAAATGTACATTTATTGGCAGTTTACATTCCTAAATCCATTAGACATCTTTGATAGCCTTTCCCAAGGACCTTGTTTCCCAAAGCCCTGGAAAAAAAAAATCTTGTCCGTCTGAAACACTTTTCATCTGAACATTTCAAAATACTTCATATATGAAACCTTTGCACGCACCAACACCAGGCACCATTAAATTGATGATCCAAATATGAAGGGCTTGCTCTAGTTTTATGTTCTCTCCCTTAAGGATTAATTCTTCATCCAATTAGCAGCTCTTACCTAGTTTATATTCATCGTTGCAACCTCTGTGCCGCAAACGTCTAATCAGCTCCAGTTTAGCTAGGTATGGTCCCCGAAGTGGCCGAGAGCTCTTTGCTTCTTCTGTTATCCTTTCTTCTACAAACTTCACAGCTTGCTCTACAGAATAATGCACCTCTCCTTCCAAAGAGCTGTGCAATTAAAGAGATGAGCAGGCTCAGCCTTTTCCTACTCATGAAGCCCTGGCAATAATTGGTCAAAGTGCCCCATAAACATTCCCTCAAGATAGTCCAGTGTGGTACATTAACTCCTGCAAAGGAAGCAGGCTGGGAAGCCTTGATCATGCCCCTTGATCATGCCAAAACTGTTATTTATACCAGTACTTCCAGAAAGGACCAGTCTCAACAGTCAAGCAGCATGGGCCTACAGCCCAGAATACACTAGGTATGTAGAGAACCTCAAATTAGTCTGCAATTACACCAATTCTTTACATACATCTACTAAGATAAATTAGTAAGAGACAGGACTTATTAGTATTTTGGCACTCTACAGCACAGAGAAAAAAACCTGAGAGATATTTGTTAACTTACTGCTCTCCTTCTGCTGGAGGAGTCCAGTTGTAGTCAATCAGTTGAAAAATTGACTCAAAATAAGTTATATAGAACTGCCAATCATCTGAGCTAAAACAAAAAGACAAGATGCAAAATTTAGAGAAGTGCAAACAAAGTGACTCATACATGCAACTCTACTCCTTGCAAAATATAAGTGTTAAATAAAGGACAAGATGAGTGGACTCCTGAAGGTTACAGGAAGAAAAACAATACTGTACCAAGAATCATTTCTACTGGAAAAAGCTTCACCCTGGAGGGACACATCATCTAAATTACCTAACATAACTTAATCTGAGAAACCGTTTGTGATACAGCCTGCTTCTTTTTTTTTTTTTTTTTTTAAAGGTCCTGTACCATAATTCTTTTCTGGGATTTCCGATCTCTCGTTAACATTTATAAAGATGTCTTTCCAGCAAGGGGAAACATGGGTTCAAAAGCAATTCCACCCGATTGCTAATGCAGGAGACAGGAAGTTCCAACTGACAATCAGCAAAACAGTGAAACCAACTATAAGCAGGGTGCTGTAAAATCTAGAAAGTTGACTAAAAAAAAACTTGAATGCATTTGTTTTTCAGTTGTGGCAACCTTCAGTGTTACTAGGTGATTTTTTGTCAGATACGTGAATTTCAAGTGGGCGTCTCTCTAAGCAGATGCTTTAAAGTCCCTGTCTAAATTTTCCACTACAAATATAGTCAGTCTTTAAGGAAAGAACACTTTTTTCTCAGTAAGATGTTTTTAGTGACCCTTTGGATGGTGGTTCCAGACTGGATGCCATTAACGGTGCTTCAGTCCATAACAAAACTCATAGAGCTGCTCTCACAGACAGATCTGATCATCCTGGCTCGCTTTGATGCACAGACACACACGGGTTCAAACCACTTAGTACATTTCCCAGAAGGACACCTGACAGATTAAGGGAGCTGAGCAGATGTTGGAAATAAAATGCAAATATATTTTTTTATATTCTTTCTGGGATGGCTCTCTGGAAGCATAGAAGGAAATTAAATCAACTTATTTTGGAAAAGGACATACTGCATGACTCTTTGTTCACTGTGGAAGTCAGCCAGGCTTAGGACTGGACTAATGATAATTTGCAGTCATAAGCACTTCTTATCAGAAAACCCCAGAAGTACATTACTAGTCTCACAAGCCTTGAGAGAGAGAGATACCAGTGACAAAGTGACATGCCCAAGGTTACAGAGTGAGTCAGCAGCACAGAAACTCAAACACTCTGCAGACATCTTAACTTGCAGTCTTTGTTTTCAACTGCTTCAGGCACAATCTCCACAATAGATTTCCCTGGGGTGATTGTAATCTTCTGCTCATTTTTATTTATTTATTTTTATTTTACAGTAGCCAAAATTCCAACTTACTTTTTCAAAAGCAGCCTCCGAGACAGCGCGTTGCATTCTGGCCACTTGCCCAGCTTCTTGTACATTGCCATACACTTATTCTCTCGACTCTGGAGTTCACTTGTCAACTTCTCTAAATTGAGAAAAAGTTGTGAATGTAGTCAGTCACCATCTATCCATACCGTCAGAACAGAGACTCTTACCCGATTACAAGAATGCAAAAGAGAAAACGGTCTCAGAGACCAGAGGGCCAGAAGCAAGATCCAAAACTAGTGCTACAAAGCACCACTTAGCTAGGAAATCAATGGACAGGCTGAAGCTCTTATAAGCCCTCAAGTCGACAGCACTGGAAACGAGCACTTCAGTTAGCATAAAATTGACAGCCCTAACAATTATTTTAAAAGCTGGTATTCTAGTTCTGCTATATTTTGGTGGATAAGCACATATTTTTCAAACACGGGAACACGCTGGAACTGTGATCAGAAAGGAAATATTTTATCCTGCTTTGGGGCCAATAGAAGACAAGAGGGGAATGAACCTGCACATTTATACAATCTATTAAAACAAGCATCCACTCAGCTATTCACACCTTTCCTTTGGAAAGTAGATCAAGCTAAATACAGAACCGCAGAGTCCAACAGGAACCTAGTTCTTCACCAACAAATGCACTTTTATGGCATAAACATGGAGTAAGGGGCATAATCTAATTTCTGGAAGCACTGATTCTCGGCTGGTACTGAGGAGCAGATGGAACTAGATGCAAAGCTTGTAACTGCTGTTATGAGTTAAATTAGATTATGTTTACCTTTAAACTACAGTATAACCTCAAAAAACTGGAATTATCAAATATCCGGCACTTTTAAAAACTATACTCCATTGGGGATTAGCGGCAGCCAGTCCCAGAACAGCGGAAGGGGAAGCTTGTACACAGCAGCTGCCACTGCAATCTGCCACCCCACACCACCACTTTGCGTGCGGCCACTGCCCCAGGACTGACCACCACTACCCCCTGCCCTCCCCCAGCTCCAGTTTCAAAAATCTGAAATGTTCACATTTCCGGCAGGTGCTCAGTCCCAAGCATGCCAGATTCACGAGGTTATACTGTATGTAGTACATATGCAGAATTTGCCGATTAAATACACTGAAAACCTTCCCCAAAAAAGTCTGAACATATCACACCTCCACACAACCATAGTTATTAATTGACACACTTTTCTCTAAAAATTACCTCCTAGTTTTCCTCTAACAACACTCAAGGCTTCTTGATACTTCTCCAAGCGTTCCAGAATCATGTAGTAAAGTTCAACCTTGAAGAAAGAGATTAGGGTAAGTTGACATGTGCAAAGAAAACAAGTTAAGAAAAAAAGCGGTTTATGTGCAAAGAAAACAAGTGTGTCCAGAAATAAATAGCGGTTTGTGTTACCGTCATTAGGAAGAGGAGACAGCCAACACTACCTGTTAGACTAGTGATGCCAATTGCCACAGAGGAAAATTCAAGAAGTAAATTTATTTCCTATTCTTTGTCCTACAGTATCTCCAGGGATTTGCACAGGCTAGAAAGGAATCATTTCACGTATCAATTAACTCATAATTTTGCCCTACCCCCAGTTCCTGTGCTCTTCTACATCCTCTCTCCTCATTACTCTTTGTATTCCTCCTCTGCCTCTATTTCACACCTTCTTCATGTATTCCTGATACTTGTAAGAGTCCTCTGTTCCCTGCAGACAAACCAACCTCTCCCCCCAACACCCATCTCAAACACATCCTTCTTTTCTGAGCAATGAGCTGACTGCTGAGATTCTTAGCCCTTTTTGCATCTAAACGGCTGCCCCGTTTAACTTCTAATTGCAGTTGTCAGTTCTAATTTTTTAATATTCATTGTGTAGCTGGCATGCTTTGTAACTTTCTAGAAAATTGTTGTATAGGTTCACATGAATTACCACTACACACATTTGTGTAGAAATTCTTTTCAATAGTTGTGAAGATCATTTTTTAAAAACTCCTTCAAAAAAATGAGGTTCTTTGCAGAACTTATTTCATGTTCTCAGTCTGCACATAACCGTGTAAGAAAACTTTAACACACTGGTTTACACAACCAAGAAGAGAACCCCACACAGCATGAGCAGATGTATGCCAGCAAAAAGGGAATGGGATATGAATTTCACTGACAGCCCCTCTGAAGAAAGCTCATGCCTCTCTGAACCTCTTTTCAATGTTTTCATCGTGATTTGGTAGCTGAAGAGAGAGCTAGCACTGACCGGCCAGCTGTCCCTGGATCCCTACCACAGTGCTTTGCTCTGTACATTTAATAATAAAATGTTATGAAGCACCATAATGGAAACCACACTCTTTACCAAATATGCTATAAATGTGTTTGAGTTACACTGCTGTCATAACACGGCATTCGTACAATCTATCAGTGATGCTGAAGTCAAGTAGAAAACATCTGTAAATCTTACTTCAGCCTCTGCTTCAATCTTCTCCTCCTTCACCATTTTTTCCACCATTCTTTCGGCTAGAGGCAAAAACATAGTTTTCGAGAGGTTTTCATCCTGGGCTGAAATAGACTAGGCACAGAAAAGAATTACTGTAACGTCTCATCAGCCTTTCACTTTGCCCCAGTGAAAACTGCATTTGTTTTCCTTCTTGTGAAACGAACCATGCTACAACCAAAGAATACCTATTTGGGGCTAGCATCATTAATAGTACTGTGTCCATGTGTGTAAAATGGGTTTCTGCTAAAGACCTAATGATATAACATGGGACTCATTGTATTCCAGCCTCCATGATCAAACGTAACTAGTAAATACCACGTCTGAAGAACAAATTAATTGCTTCTACAATCAAACTATTTTCAAGCACACAGTTATTATTTCCCTACTTATTTTTGGCCTGATCAAGGCACAAAGGAAATTGACTTAATCTTTAAGTCTGTTACCTTTGCTGATTACAACAAAGCATGTTTTGCTTCCGCCTCCTGTGCCCAAAAGACACCCTGGTAAGAGCAGGCCTTTCCTCCTAGATGCTTTATAACCCAGTCACAGAAAGGAGCAGTTCTGTTTTGAGGCATTGTAGAAAGTGATTGGGCAGACAATTCATTTTTTAGTTCTAAGTAAATGGAACTAAAAGGAGAAGCATGGCACAAAGTCTTTGCATTAACAACTGAAGTGAAGTGATTTTGTTGATCAATTATATTAAAAAGTATGATCCCATTCACTTATACAGAAAAGAAATGCCAGATAAATATCTGCACTAAACAAAGGAGGCAGTTTGGGGAGGGATTAGTATTTACTCTAGCATTACACAGAAAGAGCAGCTGGTTTCCTTAAAGTAACTGAGCCATTTTCACAACAGGCCTGGAACATCTCCATTAATGTTACATCCACTGCTGAAGTCTTAAATTCACCTGCACTGCTGTACTCACCTGCATAATTAGGCTCATCACAGACCAAAAATAGTAAGGGTTTTTGGGAACAATCTTATAAAGTGCCATTCCAGCCTGAAAAAGAAAAGATGTGCACATATCATCCCCCAAAGTGAATCAATTTATAAACCTGTTATTTTAGCAAATGCAAGTTAAACAGTGCGACTAAAACAGAGGACAATATCTGGGGATTAATGGCCAGATGGGAGGGGTTTATTGACTCCATTTGACCACAATCTCAAAAAGACCCCTTTTATCCCAACATATATTACAAGAGCAGCAGCAAATGGAAGAAGCTGCATAAGCCTCCAGTTCTGAAGGATTACTGCTTTAGCAGGCCTGACAAAGCATTTCTAGAGGAATGGCAAATTAGATGATTGCCTTAACAGACGATGGATTTCATTACCAGGCTGACACATACACAGTAAAACAGAGTACTTACGCCTGCAGATTATGGACGTTTTCAGCTGTGATCTCCACTTGTGCACATGCTCGTTAATATACACATAACCAAACTCAGACCTCGTGAATGTAACAATTGCACGTGTACACTTAATTTGTACATACATGCTTGTGTTATGATTTTTAGAGCAAGTCCCCGGAAACACAAATGCAAGTGCACAGGGATGACTGAGGAGGCCCAGCTGAAAATGTAGCCCTGAATATCAAGGCCTAGCCAAAGTTTTCAGAGATATTTAGCTGTGAATGGAAGTTTTCACACAGTCTTCTCACAACTGCATTAATTCTTTATATAAACAGGGGCTTAACTTTCCTCCTGTACTTTAGCAGTTTTAATTTGAGAAGAAATAACAGATACTTACAGTATTTGGTATTTTAAACTACCTAACCTGCCTCTAAAGGAGGTGCAAACTTTTCCTTTTAATTTCTATGTTCTTTGCCAGTTTTCTGATTATGATACCCAATTACATATTCAGGGCTTTCATTTCAGATTAGACAGAACCAAAGAGATGATGGTTTATTTTTTACTCCCCATCCTATTAATGGTTTGAGGTCTTCATCGCCAAGTCTTTAGGTAAAATGACATGTACCAATTCAATTTACTATTCATGAGGATAAATCTGGATAATTAAACCAGATGCATGTTTGCATGGGGCCCTCAACATACCAAAGGTCAAGTCAATGTAAGTAATGTTATCTATTTAAAACTGGCATTTTTCATTCATTATTCCAGCTAGGAGTACAGTTATTAGAAGGTCAGGTGTCTCTGAATTTGGGCTGTCACATAAAGCTCCTAGCGCAGCACAATGTACTGGGCTACAGTAAACAATGGGGCCTCTTCATTGAAGTTCTTTTCATTGGAGAACGTCTGCAAAAGTTGCAATTGCTGGAGGGGTTTTTGAACTGCAGGCAGAGTTCTACACATTCGGGGTAGGAAAAAGGGCCTTGCTTAGTTCAGTAATAAATTAAAGCTCACACTTCACCTATAAACAGATTTTTCATTTTCTAGGCCTTTGCTCTTTACCCATAACTAAACTGGGACTGCAATACTATTCAATTTGAAATGGCCTGGTACTGATGTGATCTCAGGTCCTTGCTGATTCTGAACCCTGAAGTTGACTTCAAAAGGAATATAATCTTTAAAAGACGTACACACATAGAAATAGCTAAAATTATATAAAATATCTGAAAAATTAAGTCAGTAGTGACTCTGCCTTTTTTTGTGGAAAATTCCTAAATAAACACAATTGTTTTAATATGACCACACATGAAACAAAATAATTCTGGGTTCTGCTTTGTCTGTATAATCATAATCCTTATTTAAGGCATTAATTCAAAAGGAATGACAATCATGGAAGATCTGAAGGATCTGTCTATGCAAACAAAACCACAGTAAATAAGCAGAGTGTTAAGTTTAGACTAGTACCAAATGAGCATGCCGTGTTTCTGTAGAAGAGCAATATCACATATGGTGCAATACACTTCATGTTAAACTACATTCCTGCCCTTTTAGTATAAAAGCTGTTAACTTTTGACCCAGGACATGTCAAACAGCAATAAATCAGATCACTCTGAATTAGTATCTAGCACTTGGCAGGCATGTATATTCCCTTATTAATAATCCTGTAACTTGGTGCTATACATACACCACCAGAAAGCCACCACTCACCTAGACACTGACTTCAGGTGCAGTTAGCTCTTGCAAGACATCAGTCTCACTGACACCAGCTAAATAATTAACCACTGCAATCATTGCAAACTTAGCGACTAACATCTGAGAGATTTGTTTTTGTGCTGTGGTCAAATCTAGAGCTATTTTTAAACGAATTTCAAAGTCATTGAGAACAGTAAGAATTGCTGCAAACTAGCAGTCTTGGGCATAAATCTGACATCAGACACACTATGATACCATAAGACTAATCCTTTTGTGAAGTAATCTATTTAAAAGTTCCTCATTCTGCGACGTGTCAAGTACAGTTTAGCCCCTTTCCCAATCTGAACTAAACTGTGCCACAACCCAGTTGAGCCATGACAGAGATTAGCACCATTGTTCTGCTCTGGTTTTGGTTATACAGACTGAGGTTTCGTGTAAGGATACCAGTCACCTTACTAGTGGGAAGAGAGAAAGCTTGGAACTGACTGGCCTGCTTCTCTGTCCTTTTATTTATTATTTTTGCATACGTGAAAGAGGGAGTGTGCATGCTTGGGAAAGAAACTTCCATTTATAGTCATTCTCCAGGCACCTAATTTGGAAAGGATAGAAACAAAACTAACAGGCACAAGATTGCTCTGCCAAATGAAAACTAAGATGCACTTAGAGTAAAAAAAAAAAAAAAAATCTGCTTTCTTCCCATCAAAATACAAACGGCACAAGTCTAACTACACACTGAGGTCTAAAGCAAGGGCAAAACAAGTTTAAAAAAACAGTAACTCAGACTATGTTAAATTGGACTACATGGCTCAAAGTTCTTATTATATCATATACGTGTTCTGGGATTTCTGTTGCATGTAAACCGAGTGCTTTTTGAAACTGGCATCAATAGGCAGCTAATGTCCCAAGGAGGACAAACATACAAGAGAGGAAGCTATCCTTCCCTTTTTAAAGGAAAGGGAATCAACAGTCTTCTATACACAACAAGCAAATATAAACAATGGCTCTTTTACTTTGTATCAAGTATTAAACATGAGGATTTTTTAAATTAATTGCTTTAGGTCAATTTATAAGTGACAGAATATAATTTTAAAATGTGCAGTATAGTACAGGAAAGAGCACTTAGGAAATGTAAAATTTGGTAAATACGTTGTTTTGTTACCGAGATGCTGCTGACAGCTCTCCCCTCCAGTCAGTACAAATGACACCCAAATTGACAGTAACTGGAATTGATTAACATACCTGTTGCATCTTCTTGTATTCCCCAACCCTGGCATAGGCCATGAAGAGATGAGAATGATATTCCTCGCTGTTGGGAACTTTCTTTACAGCTGCCTCGTAAAGCTTAGTTACCAACTCCGCTAAACCAAAACCAGACACTCAATTCAGACACATATGGGATGAGTTTATAAAGCAGCCATCTCAAGGTAACATCTTGGATACTGTGCAGAGCAATCTAATTAGGCTCAGCACCCACAGGTTCACTCTTTCAACATGCTAAACCATACAAATATACACTGGACCAGAAAGAAAAATGTTCCAAACAAAAATAATTGGTGTAAAAAAATGTGTAAATTGATCAAAAACAAGGTTTAAGGTACACCGAAAGCTTGGCTTCAAGTGCTTACAAATATCCCCTTAGAGAAACTTGTCAACATTTTGGTGTAATGCTGCAGAATGTACCTCTCAACACCTTTAAAAAACAATAGGACTGGTGACCTTTAAGCAAGTTGCTAAGACTTGTAGGGAAGAAAAAAAAGGGTTGCCATTAAGATGCTGCAGTAAAGGGGCTGTAGCAAATCAAGGTTTTCAGACATGAAATAAACTAAAATGATGCAAGAGGTTGCTACGTATTAAGGACTGGTTTTACATCTGCCATATGCATGAAAAAACCTCTGCTTTATAATAACTTTACGCTGCAGATAAGGCAATCAACATGCCTACCATATCCCCAGAACAGTGAAAAGATTTCTAGAAGAAAAAGAGTGACCTCTTGGTGTTGTGTGTGCTGCACATACATATGGTTTCCCTTTCAGAATGAGAATGCCCAGCTTGTTTGCCAGGCCACTTAAAGAAGCCAAGATTTAGTTTTGGTGTACTACCCTAACACTGCAAAAAACAAGTAATGTAGGGGAAGAAAAAGCCAGGGTTTGTCCTCCAACTTTGCAGCACAGCTGCCTACATTCCTGACACTGTCTACTGGATGTCATGTTGCATATTCTGCTCCTCAGATGTTCACACATACTGCAGTAATCATTTTCTAACTACAGCCTTAAGGAAACACGTTCAAATTATTTTCACTAGAATAAACAAGTGCACTCATTTGATATTATGATTAACCTGCCATTTGTTAGCATTTCTGTGAGCTCACTTTTCTATAAGAAGCCTAGAGAGAGTACTTTGGCTTCAGGAGCTGAACTGCGCATCTAAATTCTACATCTGTGCTTCTTATTCATGTGCCTGTATCTGAAAACTTAGCTTGGCACCTTTCCCATCAAATTATGGATCTCACTTCTTTTCAAAGAACTGAAACAGTTCAGTGTATATAGGAAAACAATGTAAAAGAAAGGGAAGAGAAACGAAACAAAAAACCTACGTCTATGCATTTCTCGGTAAAGGATAGTTAATGCTTGCAAAGAGTTGTCATCCGTGGGTTCAAGCGCTGCTACTTCCTGTGCTAGAGCAAATGCTTCATCTTGCTTCCCAGTTCTCTGCAAGCCAATTGCCTTTAGAACCTATTGAGTTGATAAAGCAGAAGCTATTAAACATTACTCTTAGCAGTTCATGAAGAAATAAACTCGTCAGAAACAAATGTCATCTTAACTATGGTAAGCGGAGAACTGTTGCAATAAACAGCTATCGAGCCTTGCTAGTGTTCTCTACGGCCATTCACATTCTGAACATTTAGAGACCACAGTGTGCTTAAAAAATGGCAGAGAAAACTGGATGCTTGAAAAGTACAGCTGAATGCCCCCAAACTCAGAACTCTGTTAACTAAATAAAAGTAAACTAATGAAAAACAATCGGGCTTACCTTAGCACAGTGAAGATCCTTGTGTTTTTTCAGCAGTTTATCTGCCTGCTGGATTGCCATTTTATTATTACCATTATCAAGATAATCTGTGTGAAAAGAACATACACAGTGGTTACAACATATAGCAAAAATAGCTGGATGTCTGTTCTCTATACTTGGTGGGGGCCTGGGCTGGAAAGGTAGTACCTTTATTCAAAAATGTATTTTTCATCAATCTAAATGTTTAGTGGTCATTGCCAGGGAAGGTTCTTTGGATAGATGTGATATCTTTCATTAGACCAACTGAGTAGTTGGAAAAAAGTTCTTAGCGTTCATTGCCACATTGGGGATTTTATTCTGGGTTTAGTTATCCCAACACAAAGTGCTGTAAGAGACTCTTTTGGTTGTTTCTTATAAAAATCTACCCAGAGCTTTCATAACATAAAGGCTAAGTGGTACAAGGGAGCCAGGTAAAACAGTCTCTCCTGTAAACTGGACTAATACCTTTGCTTTGGTAAGCAGTAGAAACTAAGTTGGTGTGTCAATGGGAGTTTCAGTAGACTTTACCAGACGGTGGGGATTAGGTCCTAGAGGCATGCAGTCTAACATAACAGTAAATTGGAAGACCCACTAGGTTCTCTCGTTCTCAGTCAATGCAGGTTTGTTCCCCACCAACGTTTTATAGTGCTTTGCGCAGCCCAGTTTTAAAGGATTCAAACAATAAAGCTTCCACATTCCCTAGGGAGATTATTCCACTATCTAATACAGCTTCAACTATTAACAATGTCAGCTGAATAGCCAGTTTTTCTTTTTCTCAATTTTATACCATTACTTGCAGTTGCAATGACATGCAGTCACATTACAAATACCAGTATAAGAGAGTCATTTAAAAAAAGAATAAACCAACGCAATCTTTGTGCCGCGTCAAACCTTGAGACATATTAGCCCTAGCACAGAACAAACAAGCCAGATCCAGCTGACCAAGGGTTCTCAACCCCTGGCTTGGGAGCCTGAAAATTTAGCAGCAGGGGAGCGTGGCACCAATTCCTTGTTGCCAACCGTGGGAGGCCCCGCAGGCCAGAGAGCATGGCCCTGTATGCTGGACCAGATGTACAGGGCCCAATCCTGAAACATGGGCCCCAGTGCGTGATCCCAGCATGCAGAAGCAGTGTACAACCCTATCCTAGTACACAGTGGGCTGCCAAGGCTGCACGGGGCCCAATCTGCTCTTGAGCCACTCACCTGGCCTGCAGGGCCAAAAGTTTTAATGCTACTGCAACAGACCTAAAGACCTAATTAAAGTGTTCCTAATTAAAGTATATTACACTTTTTTTTTTTTTTTTTAAATGAGGACTACAATTCTCACTGTGATGCATTTAAAAAGTGTCTTTAGTAATTTCTTGGCAAATGGTACACAATGTGTACACTACTTTATTAAGATTTACCTTAAATGACCTTTCATACTTGCCTCTAAGGCCATGTCTGTGCGGAAGAATTAAGCCACAGGCATCTTGTAAAGTTAAAGCACAAAGGATGCACACTGTCCACACTAACTAAAGCAAAAATCTTTCAAGTATTTCAAGTAATTAGGCAAAAATTTATCATGTAAAATTAGTCAGGTAGCTGGGTTGTTTTTTTTAGGGAGTGGGGCAGAGGCTGTAGCATGTACATGCTATTCTATACTGGTATTAAAATTCAGATACCGATTTGTCCAATACAGAAGGTTTTACAAATTCTGAAACAGAATAAACTCGTTGCCTCTCTATATTTTTCTCATTGTCATCGTTGTTGTTCAAGGATTTATATTCCAACATCTAGACAAAAATTCAGCTTCCAGATTTTACTGACTATCTTAGTGCTGTTACATGACCAGCTGTCTTTATATATTCTCTTTCTTAGGTCTTCTGAAGTACATTAAATAAAGTCACCGGTTTTCTGAACAGTAGCAGAACAAGAATGATGTTTTGTCAACAACAAACAAGTTGATCAGGAACAGAAAAAGGTGGCAACATCCAGGAGAACTTCAGGTAAAGAAAAACATCCAAAGACGGATTACTAATAGCAAGTTTGTGGGTGTGTATATTCAATGGCTGGAAGTCAATACAACTAACTTTCTGTTTAATGTACAAAGAACAAATATTAAAAAAATGTAGATCTGTCAAGGCAGTATGAGTAATAAAGTGCCGAGTGCAAAGAGAACGGTACTGTTAGAAATGAAGTAACGAGAACCTTGCCCCCATGTAAGCATTTTAGAAAAGCTGCGCAAATACATTTTTTTTACTATGCTCCAAGTATTCAGGACTTCTGATACTAGATACTAAATGCAAGACTCTGTTCTGAATAAATCAATGCTAGACCCATAGCACATGGCATTTTTTAAAGGCATTCACTCTCACTGGCAACTACCACCAGTGGTTGAAGCACTGAAACAAGACTCAGTTGAATGTTAGTATTTCAGCACCACATGGCTCAATTCAATACAATTTCAGATGACAATACGAGAACTCTCTCCCATTCAAGAAGTCACCCTGCAATCTCCGCGTACATACGAAAATGACAACTCAACGACTAGAAAATTCAGACAGCTCATACATTCATAGATGCTCGGGTTGGAAGGGACCTCAGCAGATCGCCGAGTCCGACCCCCTGCAAAGCTGCATCAAAGCAAAGCGAAGGGCAGCAGTTACCGCTTCTGGAAGACGCGCTTTTTTTTAATCACAACTGCATCTTTAGACCTTCGCTCTCGGCAGTCTTTTAAATTAACGTTAAGCGGGAGCATGTCGTGCCCCAGCTAGGCCCGGAGAACTACGCTTGTTCGGTGTCGATACCTAGACCCGCGCCGCTACCTGTTCGGTGTCCATACCTAGACCCGCGCCACCACCATTTCCGCGGGGAACGGTGCACACGAGAAAGCAAGCGCATCCCTAACCGAGCGCCATTCTCCTCTTTGCTCTCCAGAGATTTATTTCTACCTGGGATCTCACAAAAAGTTTCTACAAGCGATGCAACATGTACTCACAAGACAAACAACACACCAGTCGGGGGGATGTATTTTCCCTCCCTTTATATTGACATCCAGGAGGAATTAAAACTTTATATACAACCTCAGGAAACAAGATCAAGGTGAGGGTGGGGGGGAAAAAGATGCGTGGGGTCTTCTTGGGGCAATTTTAAACCAGGCAAACGTTGCCTAATATCAAGGTGGGAAAAGAACCGAACGCACGGGGCTTTCTTGAGGGTACTCCGGGGCCACCTTAAACCAGGACGTTGCTTAGAGGAGAACGCTTTCTGGTCTAGGTTTCGCTATTTCACCGCTCCTAGTTTTCACACGCCTGCCCTCGCCCGCGCTACTTCAACCGCCTCGCAGACCGAACTGCTTTTCTAAATTAAAATCGTCTCGGCGAGGGGAGGGGAGGGGAGGGGAGGGGAGGGGAGGACGAGCGACTCCCTCGCGCAGACGGAGGGCGTGCGCTCCGCGTGGCGCCGACCCGCTGGCCCGTGGCTGGCCCCGGGGAAGCGAAGCCAAGCAGTTGTTCTCTCCGCCCGAGGGGTAAGATGTGAACACAGCAAGCGTCCCGCGACCGGGGGACGCAGCCGGGCTTCCCAGCAAAGGGGCAGGGCGGCAAGGCAGACACTGAGGTGGGCATCGCCGACGTGACACGCGTGTCCCGCACGATGCCGGGGGCTGAAGCCGCGGCCCCCATGGACGTG